AGTGAGACACGAGGCATTTTCTTTGACAGCGTTCAGACAGATTTCTCTCTGATCCCCTCCACCAGTCATCTTGACAGCTTCTCTGCAAACATGAGGATTTCTCTTGGAACGACACGTGGAACACAATCTTTGCAGAGTTTGGAGACAATGATATTTCTGGATGATAAGAGTTTATAAATATTATGAGTCATTTGTGGTTTAAGATCTGAACTCTACTTCTAAACATTGATTCATCCAGAAGATTTACTTATCCAAACATATTTCTACTCAATCGTAAAACAGCAGGGATTATATAACTTAGTGTCAATCAGTGTGGTCTGACATTTTAGGAAATGTGTTTTTTTTTCCCCTGTCGAGAGTCTTGGTACAGTACGGTAAATTTGAAGCAGCAGCTATAGCAGTCATTTATCTTAGCTTTGCATAAAGACTGGGAACAGGGGGAAACAGCCAGTCTGTCTCTGTCCAGATGAAAGAACATCTGCTTAGTAGAGACTCTAGGAAGGTACTGGACCTGGCCAAGACCCAGTCCGGCATAAAACTCCCATAAAACAGCAAATTGTTGTTTTTACACTTCAGCTTTTCTTAAAAAAAAAGTAGATCAAAAGAGATACAACTTTTTTTTCCACATAATAGTGTTTTTATTGAAGCCTAAAGATGTAGTTTTTCATCACTATCTCCCACAAGTACATCAACACCTTCAGTTCTTCGTAAGTGAGCGCTCCAGATTCTAAACATACATGTTAAATTGGTGAGCTTTAAAGATGCTGGTAGGTGGATTACAGAGCCAGGCTAGCCGTTTGCCCCTGTTAGCGGTATTGATGCTAAACTAAGCTAAGTTACTGCACAAAATTGTAAACTGGGGGAGGTATCGTAGATTTAGTTTAGTTGTTGTTGGCTTGTTTTGTTTTGTCTTGTACGTCAAGGGGATGGTACATTTGAAATGTAAGGTTTAGCCTCCCCTCCCCTCCTTAATAATTTTCATACAGTCCCTAATTGGCTGCTGTGGTCCAGCTTCATATTTACCATACAGACATGAGAGCGGTATCAAACTTATCACAGAACTCTTGGCAAAAAAGTGAATTTAATGTATTTCCCAAAATGTCAAACTATTCTTTTAGACCTGTGCAGCTTTTCTTCAAGAAAAACTTCAGAACTAACCTCCGTGCAGTCCCGTAACTCAAAGTTCAAGAGCTCAGTTTGAACTGAACAAGGAGACTTATTTGTTCCTTCACCTTTTCCACTGATGTTTTATTTTTCTTAATTGGTGCTTTAAGTTTCCTCACTTCTACGTGAGGGCTGCTATGTCAATGACATTTGGTAAATGTTTTATGAATTACCTTTTTGTTCTCTGTGTTTCTAATTAGCTGCACCACAAAGTGTGTGGTAGGCTGGGAGGGTGGAGAGGTGATGTTAGGCCTGATAAAAACAAGTGGTTCATGATCCATGTTCACCACATACAGTGCACTGTCTGTGTATCCTGGACTGTGTTAATAGGTGATGATGACTGGTAGAGAAGGCGGGAGCTAAACAACTGACACAGAAGATTTCCTGTTGCTTTTCACTGAAATTGTCTTTCCAAAAAAGAAGATAAACTAATGTTTATATGTGTAAGAAATCCCACAGACTTTGATTTTAACAACAAAAAAAAAACCTGAAGATCCATGCGACTTACAGTATGCCAGTGTTATACAAAACCCATAAATCTACACAAAGTTTTGGTGACGTTTATATGGCAAAATTCACAGCCGCAGGACAACAGAACCATCAGAGGCTCAAAGAAGGGGGACTGTCCTGAGTAATGTCCGTCCTTCATCCAGTCTGGCCGGATCCCCCTCCATCCCACGGACTGACAGAGCCAAGGAATGAGCTTACATTGCATGATGTTTTCACCGACTCTATCTGAGTCACTCACTCCTTAATGTGTCTACTACTCTCAAATAGAATTTAAAAGTGAATCACAGCAATGACCATTAAGAAAATAAGCCATAAAAAGAGCAGGAAAAAATATCTGGGTTTTGCCGGGTAAGGGCCAAACTTTTTTTAGGAGTTGTTGTTGGATTAGTGTTTGTCCGTGTTGGTGTCCACAGAGCCACAGAGCAGCCTGAGGTACACCTGCTCAACCGCTGACAGATTACAAACCTGCCCAAACAGGTCAGAATATGTGTTTTTGCAGACATTATTGGGATAGTTTACACATTTGTGGTCATTATGCAATCCATGCTCATTACTTCACTTTCTTTTTCTTTTCTGTTTCTTTTTTTTTTTTTGCTTCTGCATTAATTTTCTTGTTTTCTCCTGCCAAATGTTCATTCTTTCCTTCCACTCCACTTCCAATTCTTCTTCTCTTGCTATCACATGTACAGCCTCACTAGAATCTGATCCAGTAAATTTCCTCCCTCCAAGGTCTGTCTCTTCCTCCTACCTGCTGACCTTTAGTCGATGCTATCACCAAATTAACGCAGATGTACTGCACAGGTGTGCCTTGTTAGTCACGACCATCACCCGCAGCCCCGCCGAGCGACTCCCATCCTGTTTTCCACTTCCCTCTGTTTTTCATTTATCGTTTATCTGGGCCTTTGGGACGCTTCAGCGGTTACAAAAAAAACATGATTCTGGCTCTCAGTGGTGCATTCACAACATTTCTCAAGAGCTAACGGGAAGAGTGGGAAGGTTGAGGAGGTGACCGGCCAGCACAGGACATTCACTGCAGAAGAGGGACTGAGAAAAAGGAAAAGTACTGAACTAGCTTGGAGGTAAATGCACATGAGGAGAACAGCAGACATATGACTTCAGAAACGTGCAGAGAGAGAGAGAGCACAAATAAAAACAAAGAGAATAAGAACATTGGGAGGAGAAGGACAAAAAAAAAAAAACACTGCATTAACCGTTTTTTCCATGCAATCACCCTCTCCACCTTCTCTCATTCACCTCTCTTTGCCTCTCTCCGCTAATGTCTGTCTCTAAGTTTAGGAACAAATAATTCCCCTTCATCAGTGTGAATCTCTTTAAGATCCAGAAGAAAACAATCCCTCTCATCTGTCTTTCCTTCCCTCCTCTGTGCTGGTATATGCCTGCGGAGATGGACATTTAATATCTGCATTAGAGAACCAAACCGCTGTTCAGTGGTTCAGAGCGAACAGCCTAATACAACCACATCACTGAATACGTCTGCAGCCCCAGTGCCAAATACATCCAAGACCGCAACAACATATGCTTTTTCTCTCTCTCTCTTTCTCCTCCATCTGACTCCATCTCCCTCTCTCTCTCCTCTGAATCCTGAATTCCCCCACCTCCCTCCCTTACTATCTGTCGGCAGGGTTTATCTCCATCTTTATGTCTGTCTTGATGTTTATCTTCCTGTCTGAGTCCCACTGATTCCTGGCAAAGACTGTCCTGCTATTCAGGTTTGTTGACTGTTGGCGAGGGTCTGCTCTCACACAGCCACTCACAGAGCGTGAGCCAGATGTGATATGGTGTTACATAACTCTCAGATCTTCAACAGATGGATGTTGTTCTGTGTTAACTATTACATTTACATCAATGGACACTTGCTAGATGAAGAGCATGAGTACATTTATACTCGTGAGCATTTCTGCAGTTACTTGAATTTAAAACAAAGTTATGTGTTCTCAGCAAATGTCACACGTTTTAACCTGGTTCAACTTAAAAATGTGATTTCACTGAACTTAATTTGTTTGTCTTACGAGTAACGACGTAATATAAAACAAACTGAGTTAATATCACAGAACTTGAAACTGACATTCATAGTAACAACCCTGACTTATCTTAACATGTATTAGAGACAAACGGCAGGTTTCAGCATTTGTTTTCTCCAAAACTACAATAATGGAGGGTCTCTGGAAACAATGCATGCTGGGAAGTCTGTTAACATTAATCATGTTTCTCCAGTTAGGTCAAGTGAACACTTTCATTCAGCTCATGTTCTGAAATGGTCTGAGAAGAAAAACTAGAAATTTTAATACAAAATATGTAAAACTATAATCATGTTACGATGACAAGCAAACATTAGGGGATTCCACTAAATTCCTGTGTGATGTTTTACAGTGCAGAGATTTTAATGTTAAGTTGCTAGCATACCGGCAGTAATGCATGGGACTTGCAATAGTTGTTTTTACACTGAAACACACAGTTCCTGACCTACAGAATGTCAGACCACAGCTTCCAAAATTAAAGGGCGATTTTCCCAAATTTTGCCCAAAATCTCTCTCCCTTTAAAGACATGGTCAGTGTGGTATCCCAACATGATGCCTCGCTGATTTATAAAACACTATAATGTCGTAAAATACATAAGGACGCAACTTTTCTTCTTTTTTTGTTTTAAATGTACAGCTAAAAAAGAAAAAAGATTTGTCATTTAGAACTTCTCCTATGAAGATGATTCTACATTATTATGATTGTGCTGGACTTTATTGTAATTCCTTATCTTGCTCCAACAGCAGCCTCCGCGTACAGGTGTCCACAGGAGGAGTTAAAATTACATTATTATATTCATCAAATGTTTATGTGCTTATAAATGCTAAATCATCAAAGCATTGATTACTGCAGAACATGGTCGCCCCCCCCCCACAGGAGGGGCCAAAAGGTGGAGAGAGTCCATACTGTGTCTGTATAGTGGCTGTTCTTTTCATATCACGCTGGCAAACAGTAGCAAATATTATCATGTAGCTGCTATGAGGCAGGTTAGATGTGCCAGCCTTCCCTCACCTTCCTCTCTGTCTCTCTGTTTACACCCTGCTTGTTTTTCTCCCCTGATCCTCGCCTCTCCGTCACCTTCAGTACTGTACTTTTCGGTGCAGGCGTGGGAGTTGGGGAGAGAGTGAGCTAATACCCACAGTCTGATTAAATGGTGGAAAAGAGGACTGATAGAAGGAGGAGGGAGGAGAGAGGGCGAGGGCTAAGGGGAGGAGGATGTGGGGGTGGGCGAGACGTCGGTGGGTTGAAAATGAAAGGGTGGGGGGAAAAGAGGTGAGTATAAAAGGCTTGCTGTCAGGAATTAGGAAATATTCCTCGGGAGAAAATACACAGATTATTTTTCTAAGACTTCTTTCTCCATCAATATCTTTCACGGTAAGTACATTAAAGCAAATTAACCTTTAAAACCAATGGAAAGTAGAAGTAGTTTACATATTTTATACTTTAAAATATCTAAACTATGTGAACTGAAACTGCTCATTTTCTTTATTCTGTGATGTTGAAGATGCATGTTTAAAATGTTTTAATATAATGCTGCCATCCTAAAAGTACAGTAGGCCTATAGTTTATGCATACTGTGCGTGTAAAGAGTATTTAGTATGTAGCCTTGGTTTGGCTCTGTGCACCGTCAGCATCATGCCAGGGGTTTTTTTTCCAGTGAGGTGGGCACATTCTGTCTCCAGGAGGAAAGCTATGAACCCACCAGGACCCCTACAAAGACTCAGATGGGCATAAAACTCTGTAGACACTGTTGTCAGCACCTGACACACACACACACACACACACACACACACACACACACACACACACACACACACACTTGTCTAGCTGTGCTTGCCAGTCTTTGGAAGTTTCTTTTTGAACTTTGGGCCCCAGGCTTGCTGTCTCTGTGCCCGCTGCAAGTCTGGGTTTGACTGAAGCCAAAGAAATGCCCGAGGGGCATGATGTTGAGAGTGCTCCGTGTGTGTGTGTGTGTGTGTGTGTGTGAGCATGTCACTGACTTGTGTGTGTGTTTATGTATAATGAAAGCTGCCATTGACGGTGAGAAGGAGTTCTGTCCAAATCCCACAAACAGAAGATGAGAGGATGAGGATGAAGGCTTGTCTGCACTGCAGGCATGCAAATACAGTGTGTGTGTGTGTGTGTGTGTGTGTGTGTGTGTGTACAGACATCTGGCCTCGCTGTTTGTACAGGTGTTGCACACCTTACCGTAGGTCACTTATGCATGAGATTGAGGGCATGTGCGTACACGTGTGTGTGCCGTATGTACACATGCGCACTATGACTGTGTATGTTGAGTCATATAGAAATCCTCCATCTTTATAATTACATTCTATCTCCCTGCATTAAGTGTATTTGGCCTCCATTAGTTGGCAGCTAGACAGCTCTTCTCTCCTGCACACAGAGGTTCCAGCTGCTGAATGGTGTTTGTGAACCGGCTGACCCGACTTCAGTCCCGTGCACAGAAAAGACCTTTCGGACACTTGTTTATCTCAGTGTCTGGACTCATGAATATAACTTTGGTTTGTACAGAAATCCTGCAGCAACCTTCAGGCACCTACAGATGTATATCTATAGGATAGTGTGTATCGGGTGTTTATGTGACTGCATGTACGAAACCACGAGCACAGACATAGAGACTTTCAGCCATCTATCCCTGCCTGTGGTTCTTTCCTGTTTACCCACAGATTCAACATCTGAGCCAATTTCTCTCTCTCCCCCTCTTTCCTTTTTCTCTCCTTTTTCTCCCTCTTTTTCTATCTAACTATTATTTTTGGTGCTGACATGACTCACTGAAAACACCTTTCTCCTCTCCCCCAGCAGGCAGGCAGATAAACAAGCCCCAGGATGAGGAGCCTCCTTCAGTTTCTGGCACTGTGTGCAGCGGTCTCTCTTTGCGTCTGCTACGGTACAGATCCTCCCTGACATCTTCACTTTGCTATCATTCAGCAGTCGTTATCTATTCATGTCCTGAAATACATCCGAATTAGACAGTGATTCATCGTTGATGATTAACCCGATTCCATGTTTTTCCCGTAGACTCTCATGAAAGCACAGAATCCATCGAAGGTGATTAAACGTTGTCTCTCGTTCATGGAAAAACATGCATGCAGTTCTAACAGACATGACACAGCCTGCTCTAGTACAATGTATTTAATCATCATTTTCACCCTGCACTAACATACCCCCCATCCTTTATTTCACCTGACCCAGATCAGTTGCATGAAGAGCACGCCTGGCATGATTAAAATAGGGATTTTTGTCTAATAAAGTTTTCTGGTCGCAGATTTGTTTGTGCCTCCAAACCGTGCCAACTCATTCTTCACGCCACAGAGGGGCCACATACACAACCCACCCAGAGGGAACGGCTTCGGCTTCAACCAATACAACTTAATGAGGTAAAACACACGACCACAGACATGCATGCAGGGCACGTAACCCGCCCTTTATCTCGCGCATACGGAGAACCACATATCCTCAGAAGCAGGGAAGAACATATGATATTTTAAGATCATTAAGACAAAGTGTGATTAGAACATTGAACATTTACATATGCTTGGAATTGACACAAACACACAGGAAATGCAATTGCAAAAATAAAAAAATAAAAAACTAAGACACAAGCCAGTATCTGTTTCTGATTACAATTCTCTTCCTTCTCCCTCTAACTATCTCTGCGCCCCCCCCCCCCCCCCCCCCCCCCCCCCCCACACTCCCTCGTGTCCAGGACGTTAAAGTCTCCAGCAGAGAGGCGTGCAGAGACCTGCGAGGACTACTCTCCCTGCCGCTTCTACGCCTATCACCATGGTTATCAGCAGGCCTACCAGAGATACTTTGGCTCCCAGACTCCTCAGACTCAACCCCAGAGACCAGCTGTGGCTCGTCGATACTAAACTCAAAGTATCAGCCTGTCGAACACAGATTTATCATAGTCTTCATCTAGATATGAACGCATATTTCTACGTTCCACATGACACAACTTTTGTATAATTTATGTGNCCCCCCCCCCCCCCCCCCCACTCCCTCGTGTCCAGGACGTTAAAGTCTCCAGCAGAGAGGCGTGCAGAGACCTGCGAGGACTACTCTCCCTGCCGCTTCTACGCCTATCACCATGGTTATCAGCAGGCCTACCAGAGATACTTTGGCTCCCAGACTCCTCAGACTCAACCCCAGAGACCAGCTGTGGCTCGTCGATACTAAACTCAAAGTATCAGCCTGTCGAACACAGATTTATCATAGTCTTCATCTAGATATGAACGCATATTTCTACGTTCCACATGACACAACTTTTGTATAATTTATGTGGCTGTTTTTGTGGCCTGAAAAAAACACACACACACACACACACACACACTGAGGTACCCAAGTGTGGCTCAAATCTCATGACAACCTATCATTATACCCATGTAGAAATTCATGGTCCATCTCTTGTGTAATCTCAGGATAACTTTTATCCACTATTATCACACCTTCCCAGCATTTAAGAGCTTCATGTGATCTGCTTGAATGAAGTGTTTTGCTCACTATCCACTAACCATTTCTTACTTTATCCACCTACTTATCCAGGCCAGCACTGCTGTCAGTGATTATTTCAATTGCTTTGGAAAAAATAAAATTCCCTTTCACTGGGTTTTGTCTTAATCCTGTTTATGACATTTGTTTGCCATAAAAGGTATGTGAGAGCATTTGGGATTCAGTGCCAGTGTTTGCAATGTGTGACAAATGATAGCACTGGTCCAGTTTTTGTGACTACTCAAGATGACACGGCTTATTGTAACTGTGCATGTGTTTAAACAGGTAGACCGAGAGTAGTGTCGGAGGTGTAGACAAGTGAAACAAATGTATTTTTCTGATTTATTTTAAAGTAGGAGGTTAACATAAAGACTTGTGAGAGCGGGTAGGTGGAAATATTTAAGGTATGACTTCATTCAGAAAATTGGTTTGCAGATGACTCACCAACAAGTCGCTGTTGCAGCTGCATATCTTAAAATGTCTCCTGTGACTGATGTGTTGAATATGACTTGATTAGACTGTTAATACTGATGCAACAGTCCAGTGGGTCACAACCTCAAGGCTGGATCCCTCCAAACGGTCATGGGATAAATCTGAGGGGTGGTGAGATCATTCATGGGAGAGGAAAGAAAAAAAAACAAACATCTGCTTTATTGTTTGGATTTTTCTCTAAAGTTAGTTTTTGTAGTTTTAGTTATTTGAACAGTTTTTTTAAAAGAAACAATCTGCGAAGAACAAAAGTTAAATGACGTTAGTGGAGTAAACCGTATTTTATTTGGTTCTTAAATATAATGGAGTACAAGTATAAGGTGGCATGAAATGGAAAAATCCAAGTAAACTACAAGTATTCACAACTGTACTTAAGTACAGTGAGTAAATGTATTCATGTACTTCCAACCACTGGCTTGTTGAGGGGTTGAACAAGGACACGTACTTTTATTACTGGAAGCACACGAACGCCGCTGATTTAAATATGTGTAGTCAAGATCTGGTTTTCTTGTAATCTCAGGAGGAATCTGTGCAATGCACCACACATCACATCTGTGTGTTAGTATCCTCGCTGCTGCAGACAGTCACAGACACAAAGACAAGTCAGCACTCTGTAACATGGCACAGGCCTAAAGAGACAAAGTCATATTGGATGTTTGTTTTCCTATGTTGCCACAAGGCCACAAATGTGTACAATTAAAATTGCCCTGAGGTTGAATCCTTGAAGTCGATCCTTGAGACGAGACAAGGCACCAAGATTGACCCAGACAGTGAAATTACAGCTCATAATTCTTTCAGAACCAGAACCAGAGTCTAAATATCCAGTCAAAAAAAGCAACAAGAAGAGCAAGAGAGGGGAAAATCTATGGAAGACATTTTCATATCATAAATTAAGGAAGTTCAAAGGACTGGTTTTGGAAATGTAACTATGGTAATCTGTTGTATATAATCTGATGTACAACATGTTCTCTTTCTAACAAACCAACAAAATGCAAAAGGATTAGATGTTTTTAACATGGTCAAACATTCAAAAACACTTTTCTTGTGGAAAGTTGTGTTTTAATTAAAATTAAATGACACGTTTCAGTCACTCTATGAGGCTTTATTGGCAAACCACCCACTTGCTTTGGTAAAAATATCTTTCCACATTTCAAATTACCCTTCTACAAATCTTCAAACACTTGAGTTGGTTTGTTTCTAAACCTCTCTTCTTTCCTTTATGTAGGAAATCACTGCGGTGTGTAATAAAAGGGAAAACCCTCGGATTAAAATCATGTCACATAATGTGGGACGGTGGTTTCACTTTGTATTACATGGTTTTCTCTGCCACATGGACTTTGTGACCCAAATGTAACAGTGTGTGGGCACGCGCTGAAACTCTGACCTCTCCAGGCTGCCAGCTGGCATTGCATCTCTAACATTTCATCAAATGATTTATCGTTATCACAAAATCTGCAAGCGAGTCGTCTGGTGATGGAGTCATTTCATTTTGCAGCTAAGTTACATCATTCTGTGTCTCTTTTGAGTGTTTACGCATTTTTTCCCCCCAAGTTTACTTTCATCTTTAAAGAAAAAACTGCTTTTTTAAGGTGCAAAAGAAGAAACTGAGCTGCAAACAATGATCCTGGTTTCTCAGCTGCAGCTTCACTCACCTTAACAAGGTGCAAAATAATTTTCAATGGAGGACACTTCCTGTTGGCTAGTTTTTTTTTTCTCATCACCTGTGCTTTAAAACAAATACCCACCTTTTGGAAGCAGAGAGTCCAGATTCTTCCTCTGTGCATTTACTTGAGTAAGTGAGTGCAAACATGCATATATCTTCAAAATGTGTTTTTGTATACATGATTTTTGTGGACGTGTGTATTTCCGTGTCTGTGTGGGTGTGTGATACATGATTCCCTAACCAATCACATATCCACGTCACAGTGAGGGCCGCATCTAAAAAATAAACCCAGTGTGCATCTATGTATATATGTGTAAGAGAAAAGAGAGGGAGAGAAGAGAGTGACAGAGCCCTCGAAGTCTCCAGTCTGACTTGCTGCTTGATACTGCAGACGGTGAAGAAAGAAGCTGAAAGATGAAGACTTTGGCCATCCTGCTTCTCTGCTCCCTGGCTGTCATCTGCCTGACTTCAGGTAAGAGCTACACAGCAGAATGCTCTATGTTAGTATGTTAGAAAAGCTCTTTATTAAAACAACAGTCTAATATTATTATTATATTATTATTATTATTATTATTATTATTTCAACTTCCAGAACACCACAAGTCAAACTTTATTTGACTTGTAGTGAAAAGCATCACTTGAAGGAGTGACACATACTCAACTATAAATAATCAAATAAAATGAAATGAATCATTATTATTATTCGTATTTTTCCCTTCATGTTTGACAGACACTGGCTCCCAGCCTGCCGGTGACCAACCTGCTCAGGAAGGTAAGCTCATGATTCAACATTAGGATTTTGACAGTTTTGTGCATTTTTCCTGCTTCTGTTCATTAAATCAATCACAACACATTTGACTCAAAGATGAATATTAAAGTGGATTATTCCCTAAGAGACTTTTTCAGAAGTTTTCAGTCGCTTCTTAGATAAATAATAATAATAAATCATAATATCAAACACAATTTGAATATATATTTCACTCTATGAATACATATTGTATTTGCAACATTTGGATTCCACAAAACTTTTATCAGCAGGCCCAGATTGATAGGCTTCTTCTGTATTTATATATTCATGTTAAATGTGCATGATGTGCAGGTTTGTTTGTGGAGAGGGAGCATGCGTCCACTGTGGTGAGACAGAAGAGAGCTGCTGCAGAGTTGTCCCTGCACCAGCTGGAGAGGTATTTCACACATCTTCTGCTCTCACGTCAGCTATAAGCTGCAGTGGATAGGCACACGCACGTACCAGCACCAGATCGGCACAGTCCGGTCATGTCCTAACCGTTTCCTCTCTCTGCTCAGCCTGAGAGAAGTGTGCGAGGCCAACCTGGCTTGTGAGAACATGATGGACACGGATGGAATCATCGCCGCCTACACCGCCTACTATGGACCGATCCCCTATTAGACGCCATGAACCACGACAACTTCATCACAACTTGTCTTTTCTTTAACTTGCATTATCACCTTTTGAGCTCAACTTTGTCTTTGCATTAAAAGCATGAGGGAACATTTCCCAATGTCGTTTTACAGAAATGTAAAAGAGAGAGATGTGGGGATAAAGATGTGAGCAGATATGTGGGTAAGAGGAATAAACCTGCCTGCATCAACCCACAGAATTGTCTCTAATCCTGTCGTTTTCAGCCTGTAGAGTAGTGTGATGAAATTAAATAAAGATGAATAAAATTCTGCTGTGTGCTCTTTTATAAGGCCCCATCTGTGAACATGGATGAATTACACCGACATTCACTTACTGAAGGAGGTGCGCAGACAAGTTTTGACCACTAGATGTCCCTGTTGAACATGAACATACAACTATGAGCTAACCAGCCACCATCATTTACACAATGCAGTTCCAATCCGGAGTGCATCATTTTTAAATAACAACAATTTTCTCCTCTGGCAAAGATTTTGAGTTAAGATCAGAGGATCTTATTTTATCTTATATGGATTTACGTGTTCACTTCTAGTTTCTCACCCCTGTCAGGCAAAATTAAATCCAACATATTCAAACACTGATGAAAGATATTTGTTCAGAAACCCTTCAGATTTGAAAAGTCGTCCTGAAGTACTGAATTATCCTTGTTGGTTGTGTGCTGCATTGCAATAACACTACCTGCATTGAAGAATTCAGGCATCCCTAATCGGGGCAGACCTTCAGTGCAGAGGGATGTGATACTTGTGGGGTTGTGTTCATGCTAAAATGTCCTGTGGCAGAAAAGTGCAAGATCTAACTTAACGAAGAGCGAGGCGACTATGTCGGTCCACTGCTTTTGAAAAAGGAGCATTTTGAATTCATAACTGAAACACACTATCGTCACATGGACAAGATTTACAGGGTTTTCTAACCAACTATTTCATGTTGAAAATTATACTGGAATTTCTTTTGCTGCTTGTTTGTTCTGATTTAACCACTAGATGGTGCTACAATGAGAACTTGTTGAAGAAATTCAACAAGATTCTATCTGAATAAAGACGAGGTCTATTAGACGAGATTCAAATGTAATGTACTGGAGAGTAAGATGCTCTTGTCCAAGCCAAATTAAGGAAGGCCTTAAGTCTGGCTTGGACAAGATATTTTCAAAAATCACATGACAAAAAAAATCAAAACAAAATAAACGTACATCCCCGTACACACACATAACATCCCTACTGTTCCTGTCCTCTCGTTTCATTTACCTCGACTATATCGATACTAAACCCTCCTTGCCCTACATTCTACTAATGTAATGGATCAGTTCTCAGTAATAATATACTTTAAAGGACCATTTTATGATCAATTTGAATAAGTTTTTCAAAAGAGGCAGTAATCCATTCATTAAAAGATGGAAAGCACCTTATACTCTGTGCTGTCTGTGGAAACACACAAGGGAAATGACCATGAAAGTCCATCCTGCTCTGTGCTATTTTGAGGTTGATGTGTGCAGTACTGGAGTATCTAGTCAGACCAGTCTGAAACTGCTCTTTAGTTCCTTATCATTTTGTTTTCTTTTCTTTGCTCTTGCTCGCCTACAATTCATGAAACAGTGACGTGACAGAATAACAGAGAGAGAGATAAGACCTGCAGACAAAATGGAAAAACTATAAATAAAACTAATGAGACAAAGAAAAACAAATCATGACCATCTGTGTCTATGTATGAGTGAGATCTTATCCAGCCAGAAAGTGAATTTTCTCAGTTTATTTTCCCAAAACACCAAAACTATTCCCTTAAATTTTCTGTTTATTCTAGAGATGGTTTGTAAAAATATACTTTGTCTCACAAAGGCTAAGTAAACTTGTACCATAGGCTACTTAATTGACTAAGCTTCAGTATTATACAAATTAAGTAGCTTTAATTAAATTTTGTTTAAAAAAAAAAAAAAAAAGATATGCTGTGATTTTAATCTCAGGAAATTCCCCAAATTTGAAACGCATTTCCTCAAAATGCAGAAACCTCTTTCCCCCGCCCTTTTGATGATCGGAAGAATGTTGTTTATATGTGGTTGGTTTATGTAGGTTGTGCCTGTGCTTTGTTAGAATAAATGGGGCTTATCAATTATTCCACAGAGACACCAGAGGATGTTTGACAGGCATTGTGTTTGAGGGACTAACATGAGTTGGAAGCATGAAGCAGGTTGATGATTCTCCAGCTTATTTTTTTTAAAACTGATTTTACTGTGCACATACTGTTCTCAACAAACTCCCTACTAGACTGAACATAAAAAAAAAACTATCAAACAGATAGAAGACGGACACAAATTATGGATAATAATCACAGAAAAGTTGATACTATTGTCAATTATTGACTTTTTTATTGAATTTTGGAAGTTGTCAAAGTTTCTACAATTATTCTACATAATTTCATGTTCAACATGAAGTGCAGTCATTTCATTTAGTAAAAGTAACAATAACAATCAATAAAAGTTATCCATTACAAGCACCAGTGTTGCATTCAAAGTGTTACACATGTTAAAATTACAGAAGTATTAGTAAGAAAACAAATGATGAAAGCATAATTCGTATGTTATTATTGAAGAAGTTGAAGCTACTTTTAACTGTTTTATATGTAGTTGAGCATTTAATCTATAAAAACGTCTTGTATGCTTTAAGCCAGAGGCCTCCAACTTTTTTTTTTTTACAACCTTTTATTACTGTAACTGCTACTCCAACAAAATGAAAAGGGGCTGAGAGCTCCTTATATCTTATATTACTGTTTACATTTATTCACATATTGTATCAAAAGACTCAAACTGATCTCCAAATAAAATCAGATGAATAATATAATTTAACAAGTCATCAAATATCACTATCTAAAATTCATAATTTAAATATTAAACTAGTAACTTTATCTGTTAAATACATGTAGTGGAATAAAAAGTTTTCCTCTATAATGTTTAAGAGTTGAGGTATAAAGTGGTATAAACTTTCAATACTCAAATAAAAAGGTACAAGTTCCTCAAAATTGTACTTAAATAAATGTTCCTTCAAAAGTGCATAATAACTGTTGATCTGTCATTTCATTTCCTGTATAACATGTTCGTCATCATTATAACTTGGAAAGTCCAATGACATCACAAGGAAACAAGGCCTATAAATTCCTCCTGCTGCAGCTCTAGGCACCTTATTCATGTCACAGATGTCTACCACGATGGACCAGCTAATATTTCAGAGGGAGAACCGTGAGCGTATCCAGGCATTGGAGAGTTCATTTGGTCTATCACGGCGGCTCCTGTCCACGCCGGGTCGCGTTCTGATGGGAGAGGGTCAGCTGCTAAAGCAGGGTCGTCGGAAGGCCGAGCCAAAGGTCTTCTTCCTCTTCAATGATGTGCTGGTGTACGGCAGCATCATTCTCAGCGGCCGCTGGCACAAAAACCAGAAGATATTCCCTCTAGGTGAGCAACTCATCTTCTTCTCCTGTAGCTAATCAGAACTCTATAGTTATCTGTAGATTGTTATTTCTGGAAATGCCAGTTACTTTTGCATTTTTTTAAATCTAGTGTTTAATTGCTTGAGCACCACAAATTCCATTTGCCTTCATTGTATTGGTAGGGTGGCAACAGTTTCAGAGGCAGATCTTCTAAAACCATTTAGGAAAACATACAAATCTGAGTGTTGGGGGCTAAAGAGACTGAAAAAGTTTATCATTTTAGCTGTGAATAACTTTTGCTTGGTGGAGAAGCTCGCCAACTATGCCAGAGTATCCATATCTTTTTTTGCATTGTTATGAATATTCCATCTTCACTGTGATTTCAGAGGACATCCAGCTGCAGGACTTGCAGGATAGTGAGCGCCTGACGAACCAGTGGCTGATCCGTACACCACGCAAGTCCTTTTTTGTGTCGGCCCCTTCATACGACGAGAAACAAGCCTGGATGCATCACATTGAAGACTGTCGGTCCAGGCTGCTGAGGGGCGGCAGCTGCCAACCTAGCTCCACATTTGCTGTCTCCTGGATCCCGGACGCGGCCGCCTACAAATGCATGCGCTGCTTCAGCAGGTTCACCGCAGCCAACCGTCGACACCACTGCCGAAAATGTGGCTTTTTGGTCTGCAATTCATGCTCCAAGACACGAGAAGTTATAGACCACATTCATCCCACTAAGAAGCTGAGGGTCTGCCGTCGCTGTCACACAAGTAAGACAGAGGAAGTACCATCTCGCCAGAGGGGAGACAGCACTGGAAAAAACAGCTCAGAGGAGGACGATGAGGCAGCATCCAGTGATGAAGGAGAGGATGGGGAGATCACGCAGAACCAAACTCCCAGCCAGTGGTTTAACACCCAGACGGACACTTGGGGACAGGTGGGAACCTATGTTGACCCAGCTGCATTGCATCAGTGGCCCCAGTAACACAAAACCACATCAAGACTTTGAATTGTATTATAACGAAGAGCACTGGACTTTTGAATAGACTCAGATGACCAATAAATGTTGACACTAAGCTGTTGGTGTTAAACATAGTAGAGGCATGTTTGAAATCAGTAGAAATCCTCTCTAGACCTGTTTTAAAAATGTGTAATGTGTAAGACTGTGCTACTTGCTGCACCTCCATAGGGGGCAGCATTTCACCTGTTCACCCCCATCCAGTTAAAATATATAACAAAAAAAAAAAAACAATGAAAAAGATACTACACAAAATACTATAACTATGTACAAAAGTGTTAACAAAACTGCTTAACAGGATGTGCAAAAGATCACAGTATAGACAATATCTGTTCTGTGCAGGGTTAATACTCCAAGGTGTTACTGTAATGTGGTTGTTGTTGATTGCTGAGGCCAGACGCAGAAGATAAAGCAGGTGCTGGTCCATCACTGGTGATGACTGGACTGGAATTCTGGTTCTGATACAGACAAACATGTGACAGGAAAATTTGTTTAGATCATACAAGTTCTTTATATTCAAACATGTTAGGTCTGTTGTGTGTGTATAATAAATAGTAAAGATGGATATGAATATGCAAAAATAAACACGGTATTATATTAATATATGTTATATTCATTATTATCAATCAGCAGTATGAACATGTATACACTGTGGGTCTGATATAATCAGTGGTATAGACAAGTGTCTGACTTGTAAAAGTGAATGATAGAATTTTATAAAATAAGCCTAAAGTTTCTGACGTAACTAGCTGTACAGCAGCCGGCAGGAACAGGCACAATTCTACTAAACCACGAAAACGTCTGCAAACATCAATATCATACATTTATGCCAATTGAAATGTTTGTCGGTACGGTTTGTCATTCATTGTACTAGTGATACTTTTCGCTAAAGAGCTAACATTAGAAGTTACTCACCAGTCTAAAAGAAAAGTTGCAGCTCGGCATCAAACCGCATCTCTTTACTCTCAGGAGCTGTCTCTTGCAGTGGGAAGCCACATTGAGATTTACTCGTGTTTTGCTTCTTTTATTTGTCGTCGAACATGGTTTCTTGTCGGGAGCGGTTCATCGGGATGCAGATGAAGATCGCTTTGTGGGAGCTTTAGCCATCTTTGCGTTTCTAACCTGCAGGAAGCTGCTCTTCTTCGTGGGACTGAGGGCGGACTAGACGCTCCACTGACTCACAGCATCTAGCGCCAGAGAGTGGTATTACAACACGGGACAGATCAGGGCTGGCTGGTGAGCATGCTCATTTCAGTAGATAACTCTGAAATACAACAGATGGAGGTCTTGGTCATGACTTCATCACTGTGGCTCCTTCACACACTGTTGATAGTGTTAATTCATTTTTTAAAAACTAAAGTTCTGGCCAGATCTTACACATTGCACCTTTCTAGTGCAGCCACCAAAGCTGACATTTAAAAGTAAAGTTACATGTTCTTTGCCCACATTGCAAACTAACTTGACACTTAAGTTAAAAGGAAGACATTGAGCCTTACTTCACTGATATTGACACATGTGATGCATATAAAATATATTGGGATTTGCTTTCACAGTAATTACTATAAATCTATGCTCAGTGTTGTGCCAGTTCACACTTAAGAGCTAGTTCAAAGTTTAGCCCCTGACAAATGATTTTGAGCTTGTAAAGTAATGTTTACAAATAATTCCAATGTTTGTAGGTCAACCTTTGTTAACCTGTAAAATAAATCTGCACGAGAAATTCAAGTTTGTGTATGTGAAACAATTGTGCTTGTGGCAAAGAGATTTGTACTTGTTGAGACAGTGTGAACCAAAACTGAACAAATGATCAGTGGTGAAGTCAAACAAAGACACAGGGAAAGAAGAAATGCTTTTGTGGATGTCTGTACAGAGATAAAGAGCAGAAAAATGTAAAACTCAGTGTGCAACATTCCCAGTGTGTGACACTAACAAGTACAAATTTTGATCTTTGTAACTTTGGTGTCACTCGCTGTGGGAACTTTTGATGAGAGTTTTACAGTTTTCTGCTCTGTATCGTGACACAGATGTTGACAAATCCATTTCTTCTTTTACAGTGTCTTTGTTCAACCTCAACACTGATCATTTGTTCAGTTTTGAGTCAGACTTTCAACAAATACAAATCTCTTTGACACAAACATATACACAAACTTGAATTTCTCATGCAGATTTATTTGGCAGGTTTACAAAGGTTGATTTACAACTACAAACATTGGAATTATTTGTGAACATCACTTTACAAGCTCAAAATCATTTCGACCCTAATTTGAGCCTATATACATATAGCTACAGCTAACAACAGTGTTGTTTTTAAAAACATCTGCTAACTAATACACATCTCTCAGCATGAAGCAGGCTATGTTAAACCTTACATTTACATGGTTGTGGTTTTACTGGTAGTTTACTATTTGTAGAGCTTTGCTCAGTGAAGTGATAAACAGTTGTTACGGGTAGTTCCTCATTACTCCATCACTATGTCACAATAAGTTCCTTAACAAATCCAAGACAGCAAGTTTCCAAACAAGTATTTTAATTGTAATATTCAAGCCAAATATTAATAATCACACCCACGTTGTTTTCTGATGCATTCGTCATGGTGACGACAACTTAAATGTAATAAACAGAATATAATTTTTTTAAAAACACCTGCCCTCTGATTGGACTGTCATTGTCTAGTTAGATTCAGCTGTAAAAATAGGCTCAAAATTCTACTTTTAACTTCAGTGTCACACACTGGGTGGGAACTTTGAGCACAAAGTTTTACACAAAGCACTGTGTCTTTCACAGTCTGTGTGTTACATCACCACTGGTCTTTTGTTCGGTTTTATTCACAAATTCTTCTTTTTACAAATGCAAAACTTGTTTGCAGTGTATTATTGAGGGTGATTTGAAACACATTACAAGAGACCTGAATTGTAAATTACAGTAAAATCCATTAACACATTGAGGTTGTTTTTAGAGTTGTGTAGCTTTGGTCAGTAAGTTAAGAGTTATTATTGAGCAATTCCTGACAGCAAATCATAGACAGCAAGTTTCCCAAACAAGTATTTCAATTATAATATTCAAGCCACATAAATATATATTAATAATCACATCCAACGTGGATGCATTAGTGATTATGACGACGACTTACAAAATAAATGTTAACAGAATCATTTTAACTCATCTTAACATTTTGTAGTTTAATCACCATGCACATGACTTACCATTTCTTGCTTTCGGGGAACTGCAAAGGTGTGGTTCAGGCCTGAGGTGGATTCTGCCATCCCTATGAAAACACAAAAGGAAAAATAAGGACATGTTATGCAGCTCCTCTTTTGACTATGAAATGTTTTTGAAGCATTCCAAGGACTTCAGAAAATAATACGTACCAATCGTGCATTTAAACCTTATTTAGTATATAGTGTAATAAAAACAAGACTTTATGAATAAATGATAAATGTGAAGAAAGAAATGTGAAGAAATTATATATATATTATTATTATGAAATTATATATACACATATATATATATATAAATAAAAAAACACATTAGTGGTGAGACAACACAAAGACACCGAAAGAGGAAGAGCTTCTGTCAACTTCTGTGTACACATACAAAGCACAAAACTGTAAATCTTGATGATCAAAATTCCTGCAAGTGTGTGACACTGAGGTTACAAGTAGAATTTGACTTCAAGTTTAAAAATAGGATCTGAATACTTTTTAATTATTAAGAATCAGCAGTATGAACATGTATACACTGTGGGTCTGATTTAATCACAGTGGTATAGACAAGTCTTACTTTTAAAAGTGAATGATAGCGTGTTACTCACCTAGATCCTCCTCACTGTGTCTGGACTCTCTGCCATTGGTGAGACAGGTGGAGGCGATATTGCATCTGTACTGGCTCAGGTCCTGATAAAGACAGAGGGATGCTGAAATCTGCTGAGAAATGTAAAGACCTGGTGCACTTTCAATCACGGCTGATCTCCTAACAGTAATGTAAAGTGGTTACAACATAGTGAACCGATCGACGTGTATTTACTCAGTCTACTGGGTCCATACAATCTCAAGTTACAGTCATCAGTTAAAAATGAGCCTAAAGTTACTGACGTCCCTAGCTGTACAACAACCGAGAGCAACAGACACAATCCTAGTAACCGCTACAACGTCTGTCGACAACATCAATATCACCACCTGAAATGTTTGTCGGTACGGTTTGTCAGTCGCTGTACTGATTATACCTTTAACTAAAGAGCTAATTTTGACGCTACTCACCGGGCTAACAGGAAAGTTGCGAGCTCGGCATCAAACCGCATCTCTTTCCTCTCAGGAGCTGTCTCCAGCGTTAGAAAGCCACATCGAGATTTACTCGTGTTGCTTCTTTTCTTTGTCGTTGAATGTGGTTTCTTGTCGGGAGCGGTCCTTCTGGATGCAGATGAATATTACCTTTTAGGAGGTTCAGCCACTCCCGCTTCTGTGATGCTAACTTCAGCGCTGCCGGAAGTTGTTCTTCTTCGTGGGACTGAGGGCAGACTTGACGCTCCACTGACTCACACAGCGTCTAATTTCACAAAGTGGTATTACAATAGGGGACAGGTCGGGGCTGGCTGGTGAGTATGCTCATTTCAGTAGATAACTGAAATACAACAGATGGAGGTCTTGATCATGACATCACTGTGGCTGCTTCACACACTGTTGATAGTGTTAATTCATTTTTTGTACATTTTAAAACAAAAGTTCTGGCCAGATCTTATATTGCACCTTTACAGCACAACCACCAAAGCTGACATTTAAAAAGTAAAGCTACATGTTCTTTGCCCACATTGCAAACCAACTTACAGACATTGAGCTTAACTTGACTGATATTGACACATTTGATGCATACTAGACATATTTTGATTTACTTTGACAGTATATAAATTTATTCTTGGAATATCAAATACAATCATGCTCTCCCTTATACTTGCATTTAATTTGTGATGCACAAACGTTTGTACTTGCCCATTTTGCATTCAGGCCAGTAGATGTTGCACTGTTCAAATGAAGCATCAAGATATAAACCCCTTTGTGGAACCACTTTGCTGAGAAAGTAAAACCTCCGATGCTGTAGGACTTTCGTCCAGAACCGGGCAGTTCATTTCTTCAAGCAAAGAAGATTTTACTCTCTGGCGTATAAAGCAATCATGATGTTCTGTCTTTCCAGTCACCAT